TGAAATGAAACAGAGATACCCTCTGTAAGCTTAGAGTACCCTCTGGCCTCTTTCTCTCTCTCTTGCTCTCTGGCAGTAAACAGCACTGATCCAGAATGGTCTGCTTCTCTTTACCAAGACAGGCTGACAGATGCTGATTGTTGTACATGGGAAGAAAACGTACAACTGCATTTATCTGAAAAGTGTCAAACTAGTTCAAAATTGAAGGACAAGTTTGGAAGAACTTTTCCTGAGCAATATGCAGTTAATCATACAATTTTATGAGCAATGGCCTGGGGTAAATGAGTTTGCAAGCAGGTCAATACTCATTATTATTATTATTATTGTTATTATTATTGTTAACAATTAATTTCTTTCATTAAATTTGAAAAAAACCTTGGGACCACAAAATTCCCAACTGCAGCACTATGGATTTCTGTATAATCTGATGTGCACACACATTGTTTGAAAAAAAAGGGGCAGGAAAGCCAAAGTAGACGATAGAATAAGGGTAATATTTTAAAAAACACCAAGTGCTGGTAAAAGTCTGCAGCCTTTGAAGTCAATGGTAAACCTGCCCTTTATTCCAACAGTTACAGAGTTAGGTCAATACAGAGCTCTCTTGTAATTTCCACCCTATGTGTATTTTAAAGGTTGAATTATATATTTACAATATATAGAAAACATGTTGGATTTAGCTGCTAAATCTTTATGGTTATAGTTTGATGGCTTGATGGAGGGGAAAAAAAGCAACCCAGAGACTGGAAACCTGTTTGCAGTCAGTCTGGAGAATGGCTGACAGGTTTGACTTGCAACTCTTTTTAGATGTCATGGTGAATGATTTTTTTCTTATTAAAGAGACTTGCAGTCAGCATTATTGTTTAATTAGAGGATGCAAATTTGGCACAGGCACACAAATAAGGAGACCAAGTACTAATAAGTATACTAGTATAAAGTGATAAATTGGGCAGTCTGTAGCTATAAAGGAGTTAGACTTTTAATTCTTCCTAGATTCTCAGCAAATCATCTAATCTGCCTTGAGAACAAGAGTTTCCTGCTGGGATCTGATCTATGATTTTGAATAAGGGCCTATAAATGAAACCCATGCAGCCAGATATGGGAAGAACTTTTTTTTTTTCTTTTAAGAATTGGTAGAATGGCATTTTGGGCCCAGTACCAGTCCTGTTGGATCAGGCTATCAGTCTGTTAATAAACCTATGGTACCATCCTGCCCTGCCTTCTGCCTGCTATTTATACTGATTATAAATTATACTGATTATACCTATACCTTAGGTAGTTCCATTAGCTGTTTATGCTGCATATGTGCACAAATAATTTACTGCATTACAGGAGAACACAAGTGTTTCATTTTTGCAACCAGTATTCTTTGCACATCTTGACTTTTGACCCAATTAAAAAAAATAAAAAGATGTGCACAAATAAAGCCTCATTCATTCCAATTATTCTTAGCATTTTTAATTGGCACAGATTTGTATCTAGGAGTCCATAATGAAATGCAAAATCATGAGTCTGCAATTACACACTTTCAGCATTTTACAGCTTTGTCTTTTAAAAATGAAGCACAAGTTTGGTAATTTTATTTGTTGCTTTAGGGGGCAACTGTGGTATTGCAGCACAATGAATAGATTAAAACTATTTTGGAAAAACAGATTTCTGAAAGGATGCAATATTGCTTGTTGATGGGACAAATTGTTGCCTTGAAATACTGTTGTGATTGCCATACAAGCCTGTCCACTTGCAGATTATACATGTTCTAAACATAACTGATTTTCAGTTAGAGTAGAGGCTAAATATGATTTAACAGTTTGAATGAGGGGTTTTGGTTGTATCCGTGTTGGTCTAAGGACATAGGCAGGCAAGGTTCTTTGAGTAGATGTGATATCTATTATTAGACCAACGGAGCCTACCAACTTCTCTTCATAAATCTACTGGATACAAAAATCAGGGACTCAATATAGACATTGGCTTTATGACACATTACAACCTGCTTGACATCTGGTTCACCAGGTACCTGCCTGGCCTAACCACTTACATTCCTCTTTTCACCCATCTTTTCTCCCCTCCCTGACTTTTCTGTCTTTTCTCTCCCTGATTTCCTACTTCATTGAGAACCTCTTTCTGACCTTGTATTATTACTACTAATACTGTAGTGTTTCCCTTTGGCCTTTTCTTTTCTTTTCCCCCTTGCTTTCTCCCCACTTCCTTCCCTGCTTTACCTTTTTTTTCCCTTTTTTACCTATTCATATTTTTACTACATCCTCTCACACTTGGAGCTTCTCTCATTCTTGTTTTCCTGTCCCCAACTATTTTCTTTTTCACAGACAGCCTCTTTTCTACCTCGTATTCTATCACTGTAACATCTCCCTTTAGTCTTTTTTCCCCTGCTTTCTTCCCCCTCCCCTTTCTGCTTTACCTTTTGTCTTCCTAATTTCTACCTATTTACATTCTCACTGACATCCTGCCACAGATTTAGCTTCTCTCATTTCATGAAGTCTCAGAACAGCAGAGAATCCCTATGTCTGAAGAAGGGTGATTGCACCCAAAAGCTTGCCAAGAACTTTTTCCCAACTACTCAGCGGGTCTAATAAAAGATATCACATCTACTCAAAGAACCTTGCCTGCCAGTTTGAATGTTAAATTCTCTTATTCGATACAAGTAGTATGGGGGAAGATGTGTGCAAGTGTAAGGATTTATTAAATAGTTTTGCAAAACTGTCCAAATTCACTCCAGATATTTGAAAGTTACTCTATAAACAGTGAATATAAGCAAGCATTTGGTCCCGATGTAATATTCTAATATCTAGAGTCATTGATGAATGAGGAGAAAGGAAGACATGTGCACTAAGCTTCCTAATAATTACTCTATTGATTTATACAGATAACGATTTCTCTTGTAATTAGGACTTGTCTCTGCTATTGAACCACACACTACCGCTTCCCTCTTGCTAACTTTCCCACTAAGAGGAGAACAGCTGACAGAATTTTAAAACATATTAAACACAGGCACAAGTTAATCTTTGAACTAAGTAACATAAACCAAATCCTTAGTTGGTATAAACTGGCATTGCTCCTTTGAGAGTTAAGGGAGTTTGGCCAATTTATACTGGATGAGGATCTGCCTCCCCTGCCCCCAATACATTCTGAAAAGACAGTTCTCTGAGCTATCAGAATGGTTATTGTAATATTAATGTATACAATTTATATAGTCTTCCCTCCTTCAGTTTATCAACAACCTTTCCTCTTTTACAGATTTCCCCATTCACCAATCTGAAAAATCAACTTTATATTTCTTCATTTATTACAATAATATTCAAGCTTTTACAATATACAACTCCATTGCTTTGCTATAAAACCTTATTTTAGTTCCTTTTTCTTTCCATCTTGCCTCAAAGGTCAAGAGGTAAGTGTTCATGATTCTTATATATTGTCTTAATTTCTAGCTGTTAATTGCTGGTTGACTTCCAAAAGCATATTATTTACCTTCCCAACATAATGTGGTAATGGTAAACTTATCTCTTCCGTAATATGCATGTAATTCCATATCCAGTCTCTCTTATGTCGTTTATGGGTGGTGCTGTTTGAAAAGTTTAGTTTTGTCTGTAGACTTTCTTTGTAAGCCAAGGTTGGCACCAAGACCAAGGAAAAAAGGAGAATAAGATCTTTCATCTTCTTTCACAACCTAGAAAACACAATAAAATGTGAGACTAACAGGGAAAGTAGGACTGAGATGTCTCCAGCAATGGTAAATCAATTCTAGGTGTATTCAAACCCACAAAGCTTAAATTTTGCTCAACTCCATGGGTGAGCTGTTAAATCTACTGAGCTCTTCCTCTCACCTTTTATGTCAGGCTTAAATCCACTCAAATTTTGTAGGTTAATCTCAGTTTAACTACATGAAAATTTAAGCCATTTATGGTGGTCCAGCTGAATTGTTTCAAAACAGGAATTTCAGAGAGCAATATTTCAAAGAATATGAAAATATTTCCTGCAACAACACCAACATTGTCAATGAGAAAATCATAGAAAATTAGGATTGGAAGGGGCATCAGAAAGTCATCCGGTCCACAGCCCCCTGCTCAAAGCAGGACCATCCACAACTAGATCATCCCAGCCAAGGCTTTGTCAAGCCTTTTCTTACAAATCTCCAAGGATGGAGAGTCCACAACTTCTCTGGGTAACCTGTTCCAGTGCTTTACTACTCTCCTAGTGAGAAAAAAAAGTCCTAATATGTAACCTAAACTTCCCTTGCTGCAATTTGAGACCATTGCTCCTTGTTCTGTCATCTGCCACCACCGAGAACAGTCTAGCTCCATCCTCTTTCAAACCCCGCTCCAGGTAGTTGAAGGCTGCTGTTAAATCCTGTCTCAGTCTCCTCTTCTCTGAGATTAAATAATCCCAGTTCCCCTCAGTCTTTCCTCATAAATCATGTCCCCCAGTCCCTGAACCATTTTGGTTGCCCTCCTCTGAACTCTCTAATTTGTCCCCATCCTTTCTGTAGTGGGGGGCCCAAAACTGAACACAGCACTCCAGGTGGGGCCTTACCCATGCTGAATAGAGGGGAATAATCACTTCTCTTGACCTACTGGCAACACACCAACCACTGCAGTCCAGGATGCCATTAGCCTTCTTGGCAACAAGGGCACACTGCTGGCTCATATTTGGCTTCTTGTCCACTGTAACTCCCAGGTCCTTTTCTGCAGAGCTGCTGCCCAGCCAGTCAGCCCCCAGCCTGTACTGGTGCATGGGATTGTTCTGTCCTAAGTGCAGGACTTTGCACTTGTCCTTGTTGAACCTCATGAGATTTGTTTTGGTCCAGTCCTCCAATTAGTCTTGCCATTTGTCCAATGACTTCTTTCAACTACATTTTCAGTAGCTAAGTTAACTTACATTGAAGAAGGCATTGAACAAAACCAGCTCCAAGACTGACCCCTGGGGCACTCCACTTGATACCAGCTGCCAACCAGACATTGAGCCATTGATTACTACCCTCTGAGCACCAATGCTCCAGTCAGTTTTCTATCCAATTTACAGTCCGTTCATCCAGCCGTACTTTAGCTTGCCTGTGAGAATGCTGTGGGAGACTCTATCAAAAGCCTTGCTAAAATCAAGGTATACCACATCCACTGGTCTCCCTGCATCCACAGAGCCATCTGTACAGTACACTGAACTTCTTTAGTTTGGTTACAACATAAACATTTAATTTTACTCAGCAGATCCCTGTTCATGGTTTCCAGTCTTGAAATAATTTTACTTCTGCTAGTTTCTTGTTAAGAGATTCTTTGTTCCCAAATAAACTGGTTTGCTGTCTTGTGGCTGGGTTTAGAACTGCAGCTTCATCTCTTTCCCCCCATAAATGGAGAGCTCAGAGAGCTACCTACACATGTTGGCGCTCCAGCTGTCAGGAGCTCCATGTGTCCATGAGCAATGTGCTCACTGTGCAATCATAACACAGCCAGAGGGATGTGTGTGTGACTGCACTGTGTCACCCCCCACTCCCTGCTTGGAACCACCACACCTTATCCCTGGCATTGTTTGGCCATGACAATTCACTTTTCAATATTTAGTTCTCCACAGACAGTCAAGAGAAGCATTCTTGAGTGTGAACACAGGATAGTATGTCCTGTACAGCCTGTGGGAAGAGCCAGAAGCAGGAACTCCTGGTGACTTAGCAAATGGGTGAAGTGTGGGACATATCATCCATTCTTACCTGCTACCCAAGGTAGCATCCAGGTCTGAGAAGGGGAAGCAAGCTACACCTTGTCAAGTGCTGCAGTAACTTCCGTCCCCTGCATCACCATACGAGAACAACAAATAAATGGACTGAGTCACATTTCCTTCCTATAAATGCTTTTTGGGTGGAGCCACTGTATGATATCCCTGGGTCTGAGTCTATTTCTGGGTTGAAGACACTTCTTGGGCCAACAGACTAAACTGCTCTGTTTTTAAAAAAGAATAATAGAATCATAGAAACAAAGGAAATGAGGGTTGGAAGGGACCTCAGAAGGTCATCTAGTCCAACCTCCCATGTTCAAAGCAAAAACATCCCCAGCTAGATCATCCCAGCCAAACGTTTGTCAAATTGGGTCTTAAAAACTTCCAAGGATGGAGATTCCACCACCTCGCTAGGTAACCTGCTCCTGTGCTTCACCACCCTCCTGGTGAGACTTTTCCTAATATCCAACCTAAACTTCCCTTGCTGCAACTTGAGACCATTGCTCCTTGTTCTGACATCTGTCACCACTGAGAACAGTCCAGCTCCATCCTCTTTGGATCCACCCTTCAGGAAGTTGAAGGCTGCTATTAAATCCCCTCTCAGTCTTCTTTTCTCCAGACTAAATAATCCAAGTTCCATCAGCTTCTCCTCATAAGTCCTGTACCCCAGCCCCCTAACCATTTTCCTTGCCCTCTGCTGAACTCTCTCCAATTTGTTCACATCCTTTCTGTAGTGGGGGAACCAAAATTGGACACAGTATTGCAGATGTGGCCTCACTAGTGCTGAAGAATCACTTCCCTTGATCTGCTGGCAACACTCCTACTAATGCAGCCCCACATCCCCATAGACTTCTTTACAACCAGGGCACACCTCTGGCTCATATTCATCTTATTATCCACTGCAAGCCCCAGGTCCTTTTTTGCAAAGCTGCTGCTTAGCCAGTCAGTCCCAAGCCATGCAGAAGAATTGATAGGAAACACTTATCTGTATTGGAGGGAGCTAGCTGCATGTTGTTCGTAATCAAGACCATCCTCTTTTGAACCCCTCTTCAAGTAGTTGAAGGCTGCTATCAAATCCTCTCAGTATTATTTTCTGCAGCCTAAATAAACCCAGTTCCCTCAGCCTCTCCACATAGGTCATGTGCCCTAGCTCCCTGAACCATTTTCGTTGTGCTCTGCTGCACTCTTTCGCTGCACTCTTGCCAACTTGTCCACATCCTTTCTATAGTGGGGGGCTCAAAACTGGACACAGTACTCCAGATATGGCTTCACCAGTGCAGAACAGAGCAGAATAATTACTTTGCTCAATCTGCTGTCAACGCTCCTACTAGTGCAGCCCAGTATCCCATTAGATTTCTTGGCAACAAAGGCACGCTGGTGACTCGTATCCATCTTATTGTCCACTGTAACCCCCAGGTCCTTTTCTGCAGAGCTGCTGCCCAGCCAGTCAGCCCCAGCCTGTACTGGGGCCTGGGATTATTCCATCCTAACTACAGGACTTTGCATTTCTCCTTGTTGAATCTCATGAGATTCTTATGTCCCAATCCTCCAGTTTGTCTAGGTCACTCTGAATCCTAGTGCAATCCTCCAGCATATTTACTACTTCCCCCAGCTTGGTGTCATCTGCAAACTTGCTAAGGGTGTACTCTATGTCATCTTACAGGTCATTGATGAAGACCTTGAACAAAACTGCCCCCCCGGACCAACCCCTGGGGCGCTCCATTTGATACTGGCTGCCAACTAGACAATGAGTCATTGATTCTTACTCTCTGAGCCCAATGCTGCGGCCAGTTTTCTATCCACCCTACAGTCCATTTATCCAGCTCATACTTCCTTAGCTTGCCTGGGAGAATGCTGTGGGAGACCGTATCAAAAGCCTTGCTGAAATCAAGATACACCACATCCACCAGTCTCCCTGCATACACAAAGCCAGTCATCTCATCATAGAAGGCAATCAGGTTGGTCAGGCATGACTTGCCTTTGGTGAACCCATGCTGACTGTTCCTAATTACCTTTTTCTTCTACAAGTGCTTAGAAATGGATTTCTTGAGGATCTGCTCCATGGTTTTTCCAGGGACTGAGGTGAGGCTGACTGATCTGTAGCTCCCTGGATCCTCCTTTTTCCCTTTCCTAAATATGGGCACTGTGTTTGCCCCTTTTCCAGTCATCTGGGACCTCTCCTGATCTCCATGAGTTGTCAAAGATGATGGCCAGTGGCTCTGCAATCACATCAGCCAACTCCCTCAGCACCCTTGGGTGTATCCCATCCGGCCCCATGGGCTTGTTCTTGTCCAGCTTTTCTAAATAGTCCTTAACCTGTTCTTTTGCCGCTGTTGGCTGCTTACCTCCTACCCAAACTGTGTTGCCAGGTGCAGTAGTCTGGGCTTGTTCTTGTCCAGCTTTTCTAAATAGTCCTTAACCTGTTCTTTTGCCGCTGTTGGCTGCTTACCTCCTACCCAAACTGTGTTGCCAGGTGCAGTAGTCTGGGAGCTGACCTTGCCTGTGAAGACTGAGATGAAAAAGGCATTGAGCACTTCAGCCTTTTCTGCCTCCTTTATCACAAGGTTGCCTCCTCATTCAGTAAGGGACCCACAATTTCCTGATTGTCGTTTTGCTACCAACACACTTACAGAAACCCATATTGTTACCCTTTACATCTCTTCCTAGTTGCAACTCGAATTGCACTTTGGCCTTCCTGACTTCATCCCTGCATGTCTGAGCAATGCTCTTATATTCTTCCCTAATTATTTGTCCAAGTTTCCACTTCTCATAAGCTTCCTTTTTGTGATTTAGTTTGCTGACAAGTTCCCTGCTAAGTCAAGCTAGTCTTCTTCCATACTTGCTAGTCTTCCTGTGCATCGGGATGGTTTGTTCCTGCACTCTCAGTAAGGCTTCCTTAAAGTACAGCCAGTTCTCCTGGACTCCTTTTCCCCTAAGACTGGCTTCCCAAGGGATCCTGCCCATGAA